CGACTTGACGGTTTTAGACTCGACTGTCAGGGCTATACATGTCCCCTGGGTAAAATATGGTTAGGAATTCTCCTTCACACCAGATGAGATGAGTAAAGCCTGATAAACAGAGAGGCTTTCCCAAGGGTTATTCCGCACGGAACTCTACATACTTTCCCTCCTGCTCCTCACTAATGTTGATGCTAGATTTCCTACCAGTAGTGCTAATGAAATTGTCTTGTCAAATCGGGCTTGGAATTTTTCTTGAACAGGAAAAGAAGATACTGCTAAACTTATCGGAGAAAAAGAAGATACTGCTAAACTTATCGGAGATAAAGAAGATACTGCTAAACTTATCGGAGATAAAGAAGATACTGCTAAACTTATCGGAGATAAAGAAGATACTGCTAAACTTATCGGAGATCCAGATGTGTCTCACTAAGTAAAACTGTCAGCACTTGTTTTTGAAAAGACAGTTGAAATTGTCAGTGATCCAAATCTATAGAGCTAAAAGCTGGAGCTATTGTTTTAAGGCTGTGCTGCCTGCCGTGCATTAGGAACATGTAGATTTCATGAGTCCTGGCATCAGACAACACCATTGACAGATCTGTGTCTTGTCATGAGATCTGGGTCATGTTATCCTTATTGCTACAAGTAATAAGGATAACATGACCCAGATCTCATTACAAGACACAGATCTGTCAATGGTGTTGTCTGATGCCAGGACTCATGAAATCTACATGTTCCTAATACACGGCAGGCAGCACAGCCTTAAAAACAGTTGTTTTCTCTGACCCACCAGCAGTAGCCAAACACGTGAGTCAAGGCCCCACAGCAGGCTCATCACCCAGACAACACTGGCCAATACAGGGCCATATGTCTGCTATTGTAAAATGAGTTGTATAAAATATTGTTATTTTACTGAAAAGGTAGAAACGGTCTTTGAAAACAGTAGAAATCAGAGGGAAGCCACGGAGGTCTCTGTCTACAATTACCAAAGGCACAGATTCAAGTTTTAATATCCTATTACTATGGCCCAGACAAAATTGGTCTGTGACACCGTAAAATCGAAACTTCAAACATAAAATGGAATATCCAAGGTTTCATCTTGCTTTCTTAGCTCTTGGTCTAGTATCCTAAGAAATATAGAAAACACTAGTAATACCCGATATAAAATATACTTTTGTCTCGAATGTTACATTGGTATCCTTGACACAGCACCGCAATCACATCGTACACATACACCTAGTCTCAATACTCACTAAGCCTCAATACTCCTTTAATTTTACCATGAAAACATCAGCACAAATGTCCTTTGTAACTTGGCAATCAGTCTGGTATAACATTTTTTTCCAAATAAAAGGATAGTGGAAATTATCCTAATAAAACAAACCAAATCTATCAATTGAAGTCATCAATTAATCAATGGCTTATTTCCCTGGAGAGGAGAATTAACTGGTATTTCACTGCCACATAGAAACAATATGAAAGACAATATTATCATATGAATGATTAATTATAGAATTATAGGTTGGTTATTGTGTGTTCAGGTTGGTGGAATGGCACAGGTCAATGAATACACTACCTAGGTAGGTAGGATGAACAGGGGATAACTATCACTATATGAGAATAGAACACACTATCAGGTATTTATTAACAACATCAGTTAGGTTAAAGACATTTTGAGTACAATCATCACCAATTATATTTTTCTAAACTTATCTGACTATTATCTTTCATATCTATATTACAAAAATATTTTGTGAAATTTTCATCACATATGATTCTTCAAAATTTTAAACTGCAGCAAAACGGGCCATCCCTTAGAAAATATAACATGCAACATTCATAGTCGATATAGCTCCAATCAATTGAACATACCTTCCCCAAGTCACCTGGACTATTAAACCACACGACACCTAATTGCAATAGATATGGGTGGGCTTATTACCAGGCATGGGCTTATCGTCAGATAACTATGGTACGCATTTACAACTACTCCACTTAATGACAAATACGGGTACAATATAACAAATATAACCAATGGTGGCAGCCCCCAAACCAGCCATTAGAAGTGTGAGTACACAGAATTATACAAGACGACCTCCAAACTGGCACCCTGTCAATAGCAGGGATCTGGTTTAAGTAAGACAATCTGCAGTCTATGTATTTAGGGTGACTCCCTCAGTGATAAATTCTATAGGACTACCCTTGTATTCAGGCCAAAGATGGCCTTCACATACTCACAATGATAAAGAAAGGGTGGAAAATCTCATACAATCACCAAATGTTGAGTGATTTTTTCTTTCAAAAGGGCTGTATAATTAGAGGCTTACAATCCTGGTCTTATTTGTTACAAAATGGTAGGATCCTGTGTCAAACCTGAACGAAATGGCCAACAGATTTAATGCACCAAAAAGGGTTTGTCAAGTGGGGTAGTTTTAATGTATAAATTACACTCATTTTTATAAACATGATGTACTTCCTCTCAGTCTGTTACTTAATAGGTTAGAAACCGGTAACATGTTGAAAAATGCTACACACTTCCCTCTTAACACTGCCTTCTACACCATAAACCAACAACACATATCTTTATTAAAAGAAAAAGTAGAATTTTAAAAGGATTTTTTTCTCTCACAAAATTACCACATAAAATTCTATACTTTCATAATCCAACAGAAATACTTCCCTTTCCTTTTTAAGATAAACTGGAATCCTAAACATTATAGTCATTATGAAAATTTATTGGAATGTTTTGCTGTGTTTGTTTTTGCGTGTGAAAAAATAACTTTTTAAATCACAAAAATATCGCATTCAAATAATATTAAATCTTTTTTAAAAATGTAAAATGTAAAGCAGCAAAAAAAATCAATCGGAATGTCAACCCGTTAAATATCAATCAGCCATATTCAATGGAAATGGATAACAACTTGTTTTTATTCAAAACAGAGAAAAAATGTATCATATGAACTAATAATTTTTCAATAAAAGCCGATACAAAGGACTTATTTTGTCAAATCTCTATGCAATCCCTACCAGCTGCTGCCCACACCAATACGGCCACGGCTAATTTAACAGAAATGTTTTGAAACCTTGTACAGACAAACATCAAAAGAACATGACAGATTTAGCAGTAAAGGCCATTTCTACCAGATCAATCCACAGGCAACAACACAAAACATCCAACAACAAAAACCCCAACAAATAGGGCCTCCTCAAGTTGCTGCCTCCACATTTCCATAACAACTACTCACCTCCTAAGTCTGAAGAGTTCAGCTGAAGAGAGTGTGTGATGTGTACCTCATTTACGTCCAACACTGAAGGTGGTAGTTTGGTAAATTTACGCTCTGAGGCGATTGTCGATAATGACAGAACATAAACATGAACTGAATAGGCCTATTTGAGTAAGCAGTCGTAATGGGTGGAATGATCCTTCTTGCATAAAATAGGATCACAAGATTAGGGTTTAAATGACTGGGTCAAATGACTTCTCCCTCAGTTACATATGCTAATAATGTTATCAGAAATGTTTGATTTCAAGTGAAAATATTTTTCTAAATGACGGAATAAAGAGCTTATGCAGATTTGACTTATAGTAATATACCAGTTAAGATGGAAATCATAAACGCTCTGCCAACCTATAATCCCATTTAATATACATCTAAACACTATTTGGGCTGGTAGAAATATGTCACCTATTTTAAATAGATATTAATCTACAACGTATAATCCAGACTCTTAAAGAGGTTTACTGCATTAGGTGTGCAGATCAGTGTAAAATATCCCCTCAATACAACCCACAGTAACCACACAATCTACCTGGCCTCTAGTCTACCTGTACACACGTGTCACTGCCTGTACACTTAACACTCCTATTTTCACTGGGTTATTATCACTGAAGAAGACAATGAGTTTTAACAAATATCGTCTATAAGAATATTCCATCTGTAGCCCAGGATAGAAACAACACAATTTTAAGATATCCCCTAAGTTTTCCTGTTGGTCATTTGATTCTAACACCGATGGATGTAATATAATATATGTATACCTAAAAACACAATATACCCAAAGCTATGCTAGCAGTATTACATTGTTTTATATCACACTTTTCCATGCGTTTCTAAGCGAACAATACGTAGTGCGACAAAAAAGTACAATAACTCGATATCGCAAGTAAAGCTGAGCTACTAATGGATACCGAGTAGTTTCCGACTGGCAGCAAGTACTGTTACAACAGCTTGGGGTGTATTGACTGTGATCGGCACAATGACAACACATTGAAGGGGAATATAGAGCTATTCAGCCTCTAGATTATATAACCCTAACGGGGTAAATACCCCACCTGTACCACTAGGTCAATAGGACCAGTAAATACCCCACCTGTACCACTAGGTCAATAGGACCAGTAGTGGCTATTGTAAACCTTGTCCAGTAATGGCCAGCTATACTCAGCCCTGGAGAGAAACAAAGCCCAATTCGGAGAGAGATATATCTGTAGTGGGCTTACACGCTGCAAAAAGGCGGCTGTAAACTTAAACTTACCTGCAGTGAAAAGTGTTCCTTTAGTAAATATTAGTCCAACATTAAACACATTTCTTTACGCAAGACTTCCTTGCTTTTACAAGCCAATCACTCAGTATTCACAAATTCTTCTTTGTTCAGGGAAAAATTCATTTTACACATTGATATTGAACGGCGAATGAATCATCATGATTGTCCTTGGCTGTGTGTAGAGTCCTACCTCACTGGTACAAATATACTATGTGAGCAAGCTTGGCGTCTGCTTTCAAATTAACCATTACTAAGCTTTTCACCAACCAGGCGAGAATGAAAATGTCGGCGATCACACAACGCCAATCCAATCTATCCATGGATAGTGTTATAGGACCTTGATTTGTAGGATCATGATCTTCGTAGCAGAAACACACTATATAACTAAACGGCAATAACAAACGACACGCACACACGCACACACTGCCGGTCACATGATATAAAAACGTGGAGACAATAACAGTACTCACCCGATCGTCCCCGCTTTCGCTGTCACACTGCAACACAACAAAACAGCCCTCATTAATATTCATTATATGACATTTCAATAAGTGCAAATAAGGATTATGGGAAGCAGCGTAGAGTAGTGAAGACCGGTGTAGTGTGCTGTGGGCTGTCAGTGCTGCTGTCTATAGATATATATAGACCACCATTCAAGGCGATGAATTTTTCACAGGGAAGTGTAGTAATCCATAGGCATTACTAGGACTTGTAACCCAATATAAGACTAAAAGTGGAACATATTTTCATGTCGACCTGGCAACAGCAGGTGCTAAATCACTAACCTAGCTGGCGACACAGGTGCTTTTACACAAGGTGTCCACAGTTAATGAGCAGCTTGGCAATATACCATTTATAGATTAGAGGTATATTAGGACATCAAGACTTCACATTTAATACTGATCTGAGGGTAAAGCACTACTGAATCATATTTATTGATTCTATATATAGACCTTGAAATGCATGGAATACTTTTGAAATATAATCTCCGGGTACGATTTAAATCTGAAATAATTTCAATGCAGTAAACATCCCTCATTTAAGCTAGCTGAATATTTATGATCAGTTTGGTAAGTAGTAATGAAGAAAATAATCCCCAATTAAACTAGCTGTTAATTTATTACTGAAGTAAACATCCTACAAATAAGCTGGCTATTAATTAATGAAGTCAACATCCTACAAATAAGCTGGCTATTAATTAATGAAGTAAACATCCTACAATTAAGCTGGCTGTTAATTTATAAATGAAGTAAACATCCAACAGTTAGGCTTGCTGTTCATAGATTTACGAAGTCAACATCCTACAAATAAGCTGGCTATTAATTAATGAAGTCAACATCCTACAAATAAGCTGGCTATTAATTAATGAAGTCAACATCCTACAAATAAGCTGGCTATTAATTAATGAAGTAAACATCCAACAGTTAGGCTTGCTGTTCATCTATTAATGAAGTAAACATCCTACAAATAAGCTGGCTATTAATTAATGAAGTCAACATCCTACAAATAAGCTGGCTATTAATTAATGAAGTAAACATCCGACAATTAAGCTGGCTATTAATTAATTAATTAAACATCCAACAGTTAGGCTGGCTGTTAATCTATAAATGAAGTAAACATCCTACAATTAAGCTGGCTGTTAATTTATACATGAATTAAACATCCAACAGTTAGGGTTGCTGTTCATCTATTAACGAAGTAAACATCCTACAAATAAGCTGGCTATTAATTAATTAAACATCCAACAATTAGGCTGGCTGTTAATTTATTATTGAAGTTAACTTCCTACAATTAAGCTGGTTGTATGGATTTGTTAATGAAGTTAATGACGAACATTTGGTCTAGTTGTTATTTATTATAAGTTTGAGAAGTAATGAAACAAATCTTAGACATTTAAGCTAAAATGCAGTTTATATTTTTTTCATGTATGTCCCTCATATAAAGTAGCTGTGTATCTAATACTGAAGAATACATCTAACAATTAAGGTAGCTATGAATTCATGATCAGATTGAATTTAATGATGTAAACATTTAAAAGTTAAGGTAACTGTGTATTCATTAATGAAGTAAACAACTTACAATTAAGCAATGAATTAATTATCCTGTCTGAGTAGCAATGAAGTAAGTATCCTACAAGTCGTGCCTAGCTGTCAACCTCTGAAACCTCCAATGAGGGAGATCTCCCTCATTCCACATTTCCATTGAGGGAGAAAGTGCGTGAAACACAACCAAAACTGCTGAATTTATCTTTTCCTTTTTATGCATGAAAATAACTAAAAGAAACATTCATTTGATTCAGACACACCTGTTATGATCATTACACACAAACTGCAAACACTACGATATTATTTGACCACAGGATGCAGATTTTGATTTTAGTGTGAGTTTTGTCTTGAATGAGGGAGTTTCCAGGGAGATTGTTACCTTTTGGTCAAAATGAGAGAGTCTCCCTCCTAATGAGTGAGGGTTGACAGCTATGGGAGGGAGGCTCCCTCCCATAGCTGTCAACCCTCCACTCATTGGGAGGGAGACTCCCTCCCCTAGCTGTCAACCCTCCCTCATTAGGAGGGAGCCTCCCTCCTAATGAGGGGGGGGTGACAGCTATGGGAGGGAGGCTCCCTCCTAATGAGTGGAGGGTTGTCAGCTATGGGAGGGAATCTCGCTCCTAATGAGGGAGGGCTGACAGCTATGGGAGGGAGTCTACCTCCTAATGAGGGAGGGGTGACAGCTATGGGAGGGAGCCTCCCTCCTAATGAGGGGGGGTTGACAGCTATGGGGGGGAGTCTCCCTCCTAATGAGGGAGGGTTGACAGCTATGTTTCAGGTAGCTGTATATATTCACTGATGAATTAAACATCCCATATACAAGCTGGCTGTAACGTTATCAGTATGAATAGTAGTCTAAGGAAGTATGCATGCTCATACACATTTCATCTGATAAACATAAACAAATTCAAAACAAAATAAAAACATAATGAGTCTTTAAGCATTTTTATCTGTTAGTAATAATTCAAATTACAAATAATGAATCTATATAAGTACTGTATTCCAATTAAATGATCCCATCCCCGTCTCTTTGGAATTGAGTCCTACCCTTTGATAAACTAGTGCAAATTATATCAAATCAAAGACACAGAACCATCATTGGGCTGAATTGTTAAAAGGCACAATTTTTTTTTTTTTTTTTCCCAAATTAATTTTGTTTCATTTTTTTATGTGTATGTGCATTTCAATATATTTCTGTGTTTGATACTATACAATGTTACATAACAATAAAATGTGCATTGGTTTCCCCAACGACCTTGAAGCGAGGTTCGACAAGGCAACATCTGATAAGGAATTCCACTGCTACACATGAGACATAAACCGGACATAAAACATGTAGAGTCATTACAGGATGCATACAAAATCATATTATCTGTAAGAAAAAATATAAAAATGCCTGCAAAAAAGATAGATTTTATATCCTTCCCAAGTCCCATTTATTGTGTTTTTTTCTTTTTAAATTGCATCAGTGAAACCCACAGAACACTATATCAAGAGAGAGATAGGAGTGAAAAGCCATTTTATCATGGATGAGAGAGGGGAACAGCTCCCTACAGAGGTGTACGAGCCTACACAACTCTATCCACCTTGGCAGTAGTTTACATAGGGCTGATAACAAAGCATGAAAATAATCTCTCCGGGGAGGATAGTGATGCCAGGCAGAGTACACAAGGCAGTGGTGGTGATAACCTGGGCTAACTCAATTCTTCCTCTCACTATTGATTTAGGTATCATTGGGGTATCTCTCAGGACTCTTTACAGACAAGCCAGTCATTGTCAAACTCGGGTACTGCCATTTCAACCTTGGGAAGTACAGGTGAATAGGTACAGCCCCGCTATAATCTTTAGACCTGGCCATGCAAACTATCAGATTTGTTGACCTTCTGTTTTGATTCTCGAGAATGACCTTCAGATGACCTTCTCTGATCTTTGACCTTCATTTAAGTATATTTATTTTTTACAGGTTCCGAGACTGGTAAAGATGTCAAACCACGAGTCGAAAGGGCAGCATGGTGATGGCTACTCAAGCAACCTCACTCTATCCATGCTGAACAACTGTCTCACACAGATTTCTTCTAAATGTAGATCAAGATTCTTAGCCATCCTCTTCTCTAGATGTTGCAAATGAATTTACATATTCTGACCTTATTGAACCCTATCAAACATGGATTAACCATCCTGACAAATTTGCCACCAGAACAATACAACCTGGGCAGATTGGTCCCAATGTTCAGCCACTGGACTTCCACGCTGATGTCCAGAGTTTGATTGCTGCTGTGAGGATGGAATTATCAGTAGACATTTACCTGCTGCTTCCCATAGATCTTCAGGGCTTCTTTCTAGAATGGTTCCTCTGATAGGACTCTGGACATCATAGTTTTTCAGATCTGACTCTAAATCATAATTCTTCAGATAGAACTCAAAGCTTTAGTTCCTAGACTTGATCCCAGAGATCCTCAGAACTCGGAGCTTTACTTCTGTGTTACAGGTTACAGCCACCAGTGGACATTTAAATCGTAAGTCAAATAGACTATGGTCACTCAAGGACACTGATTTCCACAGCAACTTTGATTGTATATATACTTTAATATTCTGCGACTTTTTCAGATATGTTTACCCATCACACAATGCTTTTAAGCATATCATCCTCATGGTGTTTTTCATGCCAGGGACCATGAGATGTACAAATTCTTGACTTCATGAGCAATGCAAACATTTTACTTCTGCATTCAAGATTTAATAGGCCGTTAATTAAACATTTGTTATTCATTTTAGCATTTCTGTCACAAAACATGGATGCTTAGAGATGATGACTGACTATTCCTGTGAATCCTCTAAGGGCAGCATCAGTATCAGACTAACTGGAGCGTAAGGCTGGCAGGACAGTGGTTGATGTATTGACCAGTTCTATGAAGTATTTATTGACATTCAGACCAAGTCCTCGTCCAATGTGTCAAACTTACCTGAGGGTAAATGACGTAGACACTTATAACTACACAGATCTCACACTATGTCCACGCTCAACAGTGCATGTTTACGCTTTCTGATGGTTACTAGCTCTGATAATGACGGGGATGAAAGAGCGATAAAAGCCATTACAGATTGAGCAGGTTTTTTTTGTGCTCCAGTATTGAAGAGCTTGTACACAAAGCTTGGTCTCAAAGAAGTGTTTATTCGGTTAGGTATACAAACACCTGAGTTCCGGATAGCAAGTGAAATCATTAACCAGCCATGTAACATGACTTTGATGGAGCTGATGGATGAAAAGACTTTACAACTCTCCAGGCTGTAAAATACACACTGCGCTATCTCATGATGGCTCATTAATTTCGTTTCTTTTTGATGACTGCACTTTTCATTAATACTTTGTTCTTTGAAATTTTGAAATGTATTCAAGACAAATATGGTCACTGACATGCTCACCAAAGGTAACCATAGCAACAAATCCTGTATGTTGATGGCCTACCACAGAAAACTGTTTACTGTGACAAGTCTAACACAGAAATATGTTGACTATGACAAGTCTACCATAGAAACCTGTCTATTGTGACATTCCTACAATGAAAACTTGTCTATAAGTCAACTCGGGAAATTTCAGGATAAACTCCTTACATATTTATTGTTGTATTCATAATTGGGTACTTTGTGTCCAAAGAAAGATTTTCTGGTGATTCAGCACTCAATCTTTTGTGTGATTACACCAGAACCGAGCCTCTAAAGCTAACAACTGTATACATTAAAGATGTCAGCAAATCAGCTGAATTTAGAGTACATAATCATCAAAAGTCAATGAAATTCATTCTTCTATGACCACAAGGCACTTTATTCAATCAAGACAGTGGTATGGCCATATAAGGTAGTGGCACAAGCACCTGTCTCAGAGACAACAGCTCTGGCACAGACTGACCGTGGTCAAGGGCAGCACTTCTGACCCCGATCAGTCAAGACCCTTACTCTAGATCAGTCTGTGGTATTTCTGTGACCCGAACAGCTGACTAGTAAAGTAATTGGAGCAACACTTGAACTGGTGACAAAGCCAGGTCTGTGTGTACATATAACCAGTGGCTAACTACTGGAGTTGGCTCTCACAAATTGCTCTTATTGTAAGCATTCTAAACTTAATCGGTCTCTTCAAACGAAGCTCCATCTGCTTAGCCACCTCTTGAGTGTTGTTATGAGACTTCAGAAGCAAAGGCTAACAACGTCCAGCGAGGTTTGAACTAGCTCACTACACTGGAGGCAGCTTCAGAGCTGTCGAAGAGGCCAGACTCTGGACAATGATGTCAAGCCCCCTTCAGTAGACAAAGTAACCCATTACCCTGAGTAGATGGCCCTAGGCCCCGATACAAGTCTTTGGCCTGATCCACCTCTAAGGCATTAGGGTCATCGGTCAGGTGGGGAGTGGGGCACGCTTGACTAGACTGGAGATGTTAGTGCTGGCTTCACTGGCCTTTAATAATCTTCATCAACACAGACACATTGGGGCAAAACATCGCGCAACACTGGAGCAGGTGAATTGCATTCACGACCAAACACATTAGTAGTCGTCTCTCTTCCTCAAGGCAAAACATCAAATCCAAGCAAAACCGATAATTTCTGCTACCGGCTAATTCCACATAAGGTAGCAGTCTACTATTGATCGAAGCGCAATTATTTCTCTTTGAATTTCCCTTATGGCTTGTATTCCCCGCGTAGCACTAATTTGGGGTAATGTTTAATGAATAAGACATGGCACTAAGCAGGACCAGTGTATGGTGTGCCGCTGTAGTAAGTCAGTGCCACGTTGGTCTACAACAAAGCAGGGAATCGCCATTTACGACCACTGTATAATGCATGCCATTACACAAAATATATGCTATACATTCATTTAAAGCAAACAATGCTTTTGAAAGGCCACTTTGAGTATAAAAATAGAGAAAGGCATTTACGTGTTTGTGCAATTTTGTCTTCACAATCTTTTCTTACTTAAAAGTGTAATATCCTAATTTTGCATTTCGTTCGTAATTGAAAGCAAGAAATTGCCGTTCGTAATAGCGCAGGTTTTGTTCCAATCCATTAACCCAAACTCTTCCTTGAATTATCCATTTTCTTCTGTTAATTTGATGGCCTTTTTAGATTAATTGATTTTAAAATGTAATTATGAACTTGATGACAAAACTCAAATGAAACTTCTCTTCCCTAATTAGATTTTCTTGAATCGACTGCGTTTTTTTCGTCTATTTAGCTGCAATACTCGCTCAGTATTGATCCAGAAGGGCACTCCAGTGGCTGTTTTTCTTTTGCTTTTTCCATTTGGTCTGACTTGCTGTTTCTGTTGCCTGATCTAAGAACTGGAGCCCTTGATGACATTTAAACTTCGACAACAACCGTCACAGATGATACTAGCCATTAAATGGTGCTGATTAACCATTTGTAGTCAAGATTTCTTTCAGAAAAAAATAACCTGTTCCCAATCTGCTAATTAGGTTTTGAGATTGTGGCAACTGTATTGAAGTATGGTTGATAATGTTGATGCAGATAATGCCATATATATCTCTATCTGGATATATATGGTTTAACATAAATATCTCTATCTGGATATATAGGGTTTAACATAAATATCTCTATCCCTATATATCCAGATAGAGATATTTATGTTAAACCATATATATCTCTATCTGGATATATATGGTTTAACATAAATATCTCTATCTGGATATATATGGTTTAACATAAATATCTCTTTCTGGATATATAGGGTTTAACATAAATATCTCTATCTGGATATATAGGGTTTAACATAAATGAAGTATGGTAACACAGGAAATTTAGTATGACAGCACTGGGATATCATTTTACTATTTTACTATACTAACACTATTTTGTTGTTGTTTTTCATTGTTTTTGTTCCTATGTTAAATTTTCTGCCAATCTTTAACATTATTTGATAATACCACCTGGGGGATGTCTTATCAAACCGTTTAACATGATTATCACTTGGGGGACCTTCTCTCAAACACCACAGCTTACCATGACTATCACTTGGAGGCCCTTCTCTCAAACACCACAGCTTCCCATGATTATCACTTGGAGGAACTTCTCTCAAACACCACAGCTTAACGTGGTTATCACTTGGGGGGCCTTCTCTCAAACACCACAGCTTTCCATGACTATCACTTGGAGGACCTTCTCTAACACCAAAGCTTACCATGATTATCACTTGGAGGAACTTCTCTCAAACACCACAGCTTACCATGACTATCACTTGGAGGACCTTCTCTAACACCAAAGCTTACCATGATTATCACTTGGAGGACCTTCTCTCAAACACCACAGCTTACCATGATTATCACTTGGGGGACCTTCTCTCAAACACCACAGCTTACCATGATTATCACTTGGAGTACCTTCTCACGAACACCACAGCTTACCATGATTATCACTTGGAGGACCTTCTCACAAACACCACAGCTTACCATGATTATCACTTGGAGTACCTTCTCACGAACACCACAGCTTAACATGATTATCACTTGGAGGACCTTCTCACAAACACCAAAGCTTACCATGATTATCACTTGGAGGACCTTCTCACAAACCCCACAGCTTACCATGATTATCACTTGGGGGACCTGCTCTCAAACACCACAGCTTACCATGATTATCACTTGGGGGACCTGCTCTCAAACACCACAGCTTACCATGATTATCACTTGGAGGACCTTATCACAAACACCACAGCTTACCATGATTATCACTTGGGGGACCTTCTCTCAAACCCCACAGCTTACCATGATTATCACTTGGGGGACCTTCTCTCAAACACCACAGCTTACCATGATTATCACTTGGGGGACCTCCTTTTAAACACCAGTACAAAGGCATGCTTATCACCTAGTGACTGTACACAAGAAATGTAAGTGTTTTTTACGGCACCTTGTAGTTACTATACTTACCAAGTAGCCTCTGCCTGAACTGGAATGTGAGCTCGCCTACAATGAGAAAAAAAGTACACAGAGGAAATTAGAAACTCTATTCAAATCATTGAAGTATCGCCAGAATTTGGCTGGTCAAGATCGTTTGAAGTTAATACATACTTTATGTTCAATATTTTGACAGACACTTTCTACATATAAAGCTCCACATATTTTGGTTGATCCTTCTTTGCGGGTTTAATTTTCAGGCTAACAATTTCTCTATGTATCTGACTTTTCTTGGCTAATATTTTCTCTGTCGATTTGATACCTATTCCCTAGGTTTCTAGTTTTTGCCTTTATTTTTTGACAAGTTTTGAATTCTGATCTGTTGCTAGACACGTGACTAGGTTATTCAAAATTGACAGCGTTATGCTAAAGAGCTGGCGAGTATCATGTTTGATGACATATTTCTTTGCTCTACTGATGCATATACAACCTAGTGACAGTTGTACAAAATCGTTCTAAACCACAACATTTTCCGTTGTCCTTGGCACAATCTAGTGACATATGTACAAATCGTTCTAAACCACCACATTTTCCTTTGTCCTTGGCACAACCTAGTGACATATGTACCTATCGTTCTAAACCACAACATTTTCCATTGTATTTGGCCCAACCTAGTGACATATGTACCAAATCGTTCTAAACCTCAACATTTTCCTTTGTCCTTGGCACAACCTAGTGACATATATGTACCAAATCGTTCTAAACCACAACATTTTCGGTTGTCCTTGGCACAACCTAGTGACATATGTACAAATCGTTCTAAACCACCACATTTTCCTTTGTCCTTGGCACAACCTAGTGACATATATGTACCAAATCGTTCTAAACCACAACATTTTCTGTTGTCCTTGGCCCAACCTAGTGACATATGTACCTAATCGTTCTAAACCACAACATTTTCCATTGTATTTGGCCCAACCTAGTGACATATGTACCAAATCGTTCTAAACCACAACATTTTCCGTTGTCCTTGGCACAACCTAGTGACATATGTCCCAAATCGTTCTAAACCACAACATTTTCTGTTGTCCTTGGCACAATCTAGTGACATATGTACAAATCGTTCTAAACCACAATATTTTCCTTTGTCCTTGCCACAACCTAGTGACATCTGTACCAAATCGTTCTAAACCACAACATTTTCCGTTGTCCTTGGCACAACCTAGTGACATATGTCCCAAATCGTTCTAAACCACAACATTTTCTGTTGTCCTTGGCCCAACCTAGTGACATATGTACCTAATCGTTCTAAACCACAACATTTTCCATTGTATTTGGCCCAACCTAGTGACATATGTACCAAATCGTTCTAAACCACAACATTTTCGGTTGTCCTTGGCACAATCTAGTGACATATGTACAAATCGTTCTAAACCACAACAGTTTCCTTTGTCCTTGCCACAACCTAGTGACATCTGTACCAAATCGTTCTAAACCACAACATTTTCCATTGTCCTTGGCACAACCTAGTGACATATGTACCAAATCATTCTAAACCACAACATTTTCCGTTGTCCTTGGCACAACCTAGTGACATATGTCCCAAATCGTTCTAAACCACAACATTTTCTGTTGTCCTTGGCACAACCTAGTGACATATGTACCTATCGTTCTAAACCACAACATTTTCCATTGTATTTGGCCCAACCTAGTGACATATGTACCAAATCGTTCTAAACCACAACATTTTCGGTTGTCCTTGGCACAACCTAGTGACATATGTACCTATCGTTCTAAACCACAACATTTTCCATTGTATTTGGCCCAACCTAGTGACATATGTACCAAATCGTTCGAAACCACAACATTTTCTGTTGTCCTTGGCACAACCTAGTGACATATGTACCTAATCGTTCTAAACCACAACATTTTCCATTGTATTTGGCACAACCTAGTGACATATGTACCAAATCGTTCTAAACCACAACATTTTCCTTTGTCCTTGGCACAACCTAGTGACATATATGTACCAAATCGTTCTAAACCACAACATTTTCTGTTGTCCTTGGCCCAACCTAGTGACATATGTACCTAATCGTTCTAAACCACAACATTTTCCATTGTATTTGGCACAACCTAGTGACATATGTACCAAATCGTTCTTAACCACAACAATTTCTGTTGTCCTTGGCACAACCTAGTGACATATGTACCAAATCGTTCTTAACCACAACATTTTCTGTTGTCCTTGGCACAACTTAGTGACATATGTACCAAATTGTTCTAAACCACAACATTTTCCTTTGTCCTTGGCACAACCTAGTGACATATGTACCAAATCGTTCTAAACCACAACATTTTCTGTTGTCCTTGGCACAACCTAGAGACATATGTACAAATCGTTCTAAACCACAACATTTTCTGTTGTCCTTGGCACAACTTAGTGACATATGTACCAAATCGTTCTAAACCACAACATTTTCCATTGTCCTTGGCACAACCTAGTGACATATGTACCAAATCGTTCTAAACCACAACATTTTCCTTTGTCCTTGGCAGCATGCTGCACACAATGCCGACTCTGCGGGAAAACTTGGGTGACTTTCCCCTACAACAGTATTCCTATTTCATGTTACACGACTGGACCATTTAAGGTAAAAGAAGTATAGCTTTACTGCTCAATCATATAGATTTCTATATGTAATCTGAAATTTCTGATCCAAAGTTTCAATTTCACAAAGGACTTATGTGAAACAGTAATATTATAGTCACAAGGTTGTGTCACAATGAACCGTCTAGCAGCTCAACAATACACAGACATGTAGCACTTCTACAGCACGTTTTTATCAAATATTTTTAACTTAATAATGAAACAACATTATTTTTATTCAAATGTAGCTATAGCCTTGTGATTTAAAAAAAAACAACACTTCTAAGTATACTTGGTGCAAGGCATTGCATCATCAATGAAAAATTTGATGTTAAGGTTTAAACATTTACAAAATGTATCAAAGCTATTTCATTGATTGAGGGAATCATTTACAAAATGTATCAAAGCTATTTCATTGATTGAGGGAATGAGTTTGTGCAGTGAAGCAATTTATGTGAAACCAATGATTTATAATGTTCAGTACTTCTGTTTAAATCAATATCCTGGGTTCACAGCTTTTTAAGGATAAGTTCATTGTACAAACCAATCAACTCAAACTATGTCTAAATGCATGCTAATTTAAAACTTTATAAGCTGAGGAACAGAGACGGAGGGTGGAGAAAGCGTGTAAGGTAAAATACATAAATATATTGACGAGAGGAAAATGTGTAATACGTGAAGTTTAAGGACATACAGAGATGGCGGGAAAAAAATGTGTAACATGTGAAGTTCAAGGTCATAGAGAGATGAAGAGTGGATAGAAGTGAGTAATATATGAAGGTCAAGGACAAAAAAGATGTACAATATATCAATTTCAAAGACATAAAGAGATAGAGGGGGGAGAAAAGTTCGAAACATGTCAAGGTCAAGGTCATAGAGAGATGAAGAGTGGATAGAAGTGAGTAATATGTGGAGGTCAAGGTCAAAACAATGTAAAATATGTAAATTTCAAGGACATAGAGCGATAGAAGGTGGAGAAGTGTGTACTTAAAGGTCAAGGATATACAGGACTACATATGGGGATACTATACAATATAGATATTTATAAAGCAGTAAGACTTACATCACTAAGCACGTCCTGTGAGGTGTGGTTTGGACCGTTGAGGTTGTGGTCAAGTACCACTGTCTGGTCACTCCGCGGACTACCCAATGGATCCTCGTAAGGTTTGCCTGGCAATGTTGGAGAATGTGGACTGATTTTCTGTAAAGACATGAAAAATAATTGCTATTAGATAACCTGTCTCGTTAAAAACTTCAGGTTTCTAACACAGAAGTACACACCATACATATTTCAGCGGTGGTCTTATTTTAGCATTTTTTTGCTTTAAATATTGTGACTGATTATGAAAGCATCAAACGAAGTTTCTGTATGTCGTTTCTATTGCATGGTGTGTGCACCAATTAATTTATGTGCTAATTGGTTAAAATTTGACAAATGTTAGAATTTGAATGTTTACAGTACTAGATCTAAATTACTAGCTCTAACTTTGTAGTGAAACAGGAAATAATATTCTTGTGTATGATATGAATTCTTTCTTTTTAAATCTGAATACTATCTACCCATATTTATAACAGAAGCAATCATCAACCTGCAAAAGAATAAAATCATCACAAAATAAATCACAAATTCAACAAATCCCTTATAACCTTCTGCCATATATAATATTTTAATAGTGACATAAAATTGCAAAGGATTTATTTTTTATATATATAAATATGTCAACAATTCCCAATCAAACATATTATAAATACAAAAACTTCGCCACCTTCAAATTTTAGTGACACAAATTCCTGCTGTAACATATTACAAACACAGAACTACGAAACAAAAAATCTTCAAGATATCCCATAGATATGTTTGGTTTAAGATAAATCTGTAAGATATCCCATAGATATGTTTGGTTAAGATAAATCTGTAAGATATCCCATAGATATGTTTGGTTTAAGATAAATCTGTAAGATACCCCATAGATATGTTTGGTTAAGATAAAGCTGTAAGATATCCCATAGATATGTGTAGGGAAGATAAATCTGTAAGATATCCCATATATATGTGTAGGTGAGATAAATCTGTAAGATATCCCATATATATGTGTAGGTGAGAGAAATCTGTAAGATATCCCATAGATATGGGTAGGTAAGATAAATCTGTAAGATATCCCATATATATGTGTAGGTGAGATAAATCTGTAAGATATCCCATAGATATGTTTGGTTTAAGATATATCTGTAAGATATCCCATAGATATGTGTAGGTAAGATAAATCTGTAAGATATCCCATAGATATGTTTGGTTTAAGATATATCTGTAAGATATCCCATATATATGTGTAGGTGAGATAAATCTATAAGATATCCCATAGATATGTTTAGGTAAGATAAATCTGTAAGATATCGCATATATATGTGTAGGTGAGATAAATCTATAAGATATCCCATAGATATGTTTGGTTTAAGATATGTCTGTAAGATATCCCATAGATATGTTTGGTTAAGATATATCTGTAAGATATCCCATAGATATGTGTAGGTGAGATATATCTGTAAGATATCCCATAGATATGTTTGGTTTAAGACATATCTGTAAGATATCCCATAGATATGTGTAGGTAAGATAAATCTGTAAGATATCCCATAGATATGTGTAGGTTGAGATAAATCTGTAAGATATCCAACGATATGCTTAAGCTGTGATTAATCTGCGAGATATCCCAGTGATATGCAAGTAGGGATTACCAGATTACATTTTTTAAGTAAGCTGAATTTAAGGGCAATATAACACCATAAAAGGCAAAGATAAGACCATATAAGGCATAGTTCATTGATTTATACCACAAAAGATAACTTACTTAACTTTTTCGCTTTTGAATTTCCCTGATCAAGATGAGATTAGGGAATGAAAAGTAAGAGCAGCTACAGGACAAACGGCCCTATAAAAGCCGTCTTGATTGTCTGTGAATGTCCCTTAGCACAAAAGCCCCGTAATGAAGGTTATGGAGCACATTTTCTAGCCTATGATGGCATAATTTGCCAGCAAGGCATACAACAAAACGTCTCTCCATAGCTGAAAATGTCGTAAAAAATGGTGGAAAGGAAGACATAAACTTGCAATCTATAAAATGTGTTTTGAGCACAGTCTGATAATGACTCGCGGGAGATATTATTCACCACTAAACTCAGCACTAAAAGCTGTTCCCATTTAATGCGTTTCTATATTCCCAGAAAGTGCTGGTCCCTAAGGTCTACTCCGACAGACTCTATCCTGGCAATCCCACATACAACAGGCTCCCCGGACGACCTAGGGTTAAAACAATTGGTGACATCTTAGTATTTGTTTTTTAGGAGCCCACTATCCAATAGAATCGATTACAAACTCGGCCAAAGTGGATTACCACTCCTCAGAGTCGAGAAAATGTCAGAACAAATTTTCCATTTGGATATCGTCGTCCATGCTAATGTGACGATAGTTGTGTCAATCACCTCAGCGATTAAAAATCACCTCATAGACGCAGCAAGCTGCAGATGGCCCACTGGAAACTAAATATCATTTTTACTGTAATGACAATTTAGAGCCTTTCCAGAAGCGACATAAACACCTTGTGTGAAGTCTTTTTGAAAGGTCAAACGCAAGGTATGCCCATTTGTCAATGTTTAGAAAAATGATGAAAAGGAATTAAGATACCAGCCCAAACACCCTGAGGTGGCTACAATATAGATCTACTCCTGCAATTAGGACCTGCTTAACAACAAAGAACGCCATTTTAAATGGTTATAGAAAAGTCAAGTGTACGGTTGTACTCTACCGAGTCAACACTTATAGTGCAAGCCATGTACTTCTCCAGCCCTGAACTTCCTTCTACATGTGCTGGACCAATTGAACGAATTTTGTCCTGAAGAAATGTTTATGTTTTAGGCACCGGACCTACAAAATGACATTTGTACTTTAGACATGTTTGTTCTAGAGGGACTGGTGGGGGTGGGGTGGGGGTGTAAGTCAGTCATTTTTCTTTCTGAAAACATGAGTCCTTTATGTGTGAATTGACCAAGGGTGATAAGTTTGGATCTCATAACATGCGTTTCCCCCTAGTTTTCAAAATGTAATACCATGGATTTAAAATTTACGCTAATGCACAAATATGCTTATGAAGGTAGTCAATGTGGATCAACTTAAAATGAATCATAACATCAATAGGATTTGTTCCATTTCTTTTCTTGTTCCATTTCTTTTCTTTTCCTTTTTTAGTTCGAAATATCAGTGACTTAATGTTTATAGAAGAAAAGTTTCAGACTATATTTTTATTAATCTTAGTCTTGAAACATCTTTTTCTCAACCAGCATTTTTTTTCTCTCTTTCTCAGCAAGTAGGAACCTTTTTCACTAGTTCAGCAAATCAAATGTTTCTCGGCCAATGTCCATCAGTGTCCGTGATGTGTGTCGTTAATAGCAACCATTCATTTCATCACGCCTGGGGTATGTCATGGAGAACGTGCCCCTACTCCAATAATCAATGTCTCAAAAACAGTTATTTTCATTTGATGTAGAAGAATGTATTTGCACAAATCCCGATATCAGCTGTACAATTTTTTCCAAAATCTTTGAGAAAATAATACACTAACAACGGCAGCTGAAATTTTTATCTGTGGCATGTAATTTTCAGTCGACATCTTTAATGCCATTGTACAGCTCTCATTACGCGCGGAATATATTGGGAGAAAATGAGTAGGTTTTGAGAAAGCTCTGACCCCAATGGAGGTCTCTGAGAGGTGGAAGCTATAGTTAGCTAGTTAGACATGTGAGTATAAAGGCTGGAGGACTGTAATTAGGGGTTAACTAGTGCCACTAATGACAGCCATCAGCACAACAAAGATGGAGATAAGAAGGCTGACGTAGAGTACAGAATTGCCCCAGGCAGCTATGTCACTGCATACCATCCTCCGGAGCTCATATTCACAAACCCGCATGTCAGCAACACTCCACACAATCACACGACAGTGTGTCGTCTTTTGTCTAATTTATATCGCAACACAGTTTTTTTCCACCTTGTTAAAATTCAATTTTAAAATTATCAACTTTTGTTTTTATTTCAAATTCTACACAAGTTCCTGTGTACTTTATATATTTAACTAACATTTGACATCACATACACATTCGGCCAGACTTCTCTGCTATATGTTTTCTTGCAACATTATTTAACAAATAACCATGAAAACCTCTCAAGGGAGACTACTCTTTAAGAACTTCTCAAGGGAAACTACTCAAAGGTTTAACATCCTTAACACAGGTCATGTGACAACAGTGGCCACAGATTATGAGGTCATTCATTGGCCAGTATAAAGTGCTATTTCACAGAAATGTCATAAAACTGGCCACAGTTGCAAAACATGACAACAAATCTGAAAATAGAATAAAAACTCGTTTGAAGAGCCACTCCTTTTTAATCCTGGTGGATGACTGGGCTCCCTAGAAACGGCTTGTACTAGCACTCCTCACAACCAGTATTTTCTGTCCATGATCATTTAAAAAACAAACAGAGTGACATCTATGAAAACCCAATGTTGGTGCTTGTAAACAGTGTTACGCTGGTACGCTGTACACTGGTAACCTCTCCACAAATATATACCTAATTCATCCGTTTTATCACTTTAATTTCCCTAGCTCAAATTTTGTGTAATGCATTTTTGATGGGAGAGCATCGCATTCTGTAATCTCCAACAAGATTATGGGTATGTACATAGTGACAGCTGCCTAGGATCAATACCTAGTCTCTGGGCACAGATCGGGAACGCTTTTATTTCCTCAAATACTCTACATTCTCTGGCTGTTTTTATATTCTACACCCTCAATTCCATCCAATCTATTGCATTTATATTGTTGTGTAAACCATTACTCTTTTGACAATTCTGTGTCTATCCATTTTAAGTCTGGTCTTAATGTCTGTTGTTCTTATTATACGTCTCCCACCTTTAACCATATAAACATAGTATTGGTTTTTTGTCCATCAATTATTTCATTGTTCTGTTCTTTGTTTGTATAATGACCATTTTAAGAATGACCTTTGTCTGTCCTTTATTGGTTTTTTTTCTACTTCTTATATTTTTGTATATGACCTTTGTCCTTTACATATGGGACCTTTATAAGACCTTTGTCCTTTGTATGTATGACCTTTGTCTGTTCTTTATATGTATGACCTTTGACTTTTGT